CAGCGCCGGAAGCGATAGCGATAGCGACAGCGTCGACGACGGCGACGGCGAAGGCGACAGTGCCATTCGGCATCAGTGTCGGCGCGGTCAAGCGGAACCGCGACGCTCGAGTGACTAAGACTCTGCTCTCGGTCAGCATCACCTTCCTCGTCTGTTACCTGCCCTTCGCCGTGGTCACGCTGCTCAGCTTCCTCGTCGACCATCGGCGCCTCAATCTCGCCTGGCCGTTCACTTACGCGCTCACCTACGTCAACAACTGCCTCAACTTTCCCATTTACGTCATCTCACAGCCTCTCTTTCGTCGCGAATTGCGGCGCATCTTCTGCTGTTGCCTGCCTCGACGTCGCGACCATTCGAGATCCGCGGCCAGCGCGTTTTCTCCCATGCACACGCAAACCATCACCTCGACTTCGCCGTCACCGTCGACGTCGACGACGATGACAAAACTTCTACTCGGTAGCCGAGACGACCGGCCCTGGGCGAAAGTGACGTCATCCAACCGTGTACACACCAACACTCTCGGGTCACTGGCCGCTCAACACACTCGAGGCGTCTGGTGGGCGAGATTACGTCTACTCCGCGATCCGATCAACCTCGTGCAGCCGCCGAGCGAACCGGTCGTAACTGATGACGCCCAAATCAACGTCGACGTCAACGTCGACGTCGACGCGATTGAGCAGCGTCTGATAATGTCCTGTGAGGACGATGGATACACGAGGGCCTAGTCTGTGATCGCGAAACGGCAGCGTCGGATCACAAACAAACGGTAGAATAGCCGAACTTGTATGCCGCATCGGCATGCTTTCAATGCCGTCAGCAGGAAGAATTATTATTGTACAGCCGCTCACTGTGTTAAATGCAAGCTGACAAAACGGCCCATCTGCATACTTCAGACTTCTCTTTCATGTGTCAAGGTCAGAGTTCAGAGGTTGCATTCGTCTTCGGTTGCCAGGACAATGTCATCTGTAAGCCAGAGAGTTGTGATGCTCAGTTGTCGAAGACGACAGGGAGAAGATGGCGTGCTAAAACTCCCTTTTTTAAGTTTGCTCTTCCAGTTTTATTTACTCCGTATCGAGGGAACTCCAAGGCTATTCGAAGGTTTTGTTTAAGAACTGTGCCCACTCCAGGTCGCGAAAGTGTAGAAAGACTGATTGTTGAATGTTGTCACAATCTGAAGACTCGGTATCTTGAAGTTATTTAAATTGACTCCACTTGGCTTAACTAAACTGAGCTAAACTGAAGCTTTGAGTTCGTCTAAACTGGTCTAATCAGCACCATTCGATGGGACTCGAGCTTGGGTTCCTGTAGTGCACTGATTACTAAATGTTGACACATTCTTAAGAGTCGGTATTCTGAACTCATTCAAATTGCCTTTACTCGGTTCAACTAAAATGAGCTGAACTGAAGCTTTGAGTTCGTCTAAACTGGTCTAATCAGCACCATTCGAGGAGACTCGAGCCCGGGTTCCTGTAGTGCACTGATTGCTGAATGTTGCCACAATCTTAAGACTTGTTATCTCGAAGTCATTCAAATTGTCTCTACTCGGCCGAACTAAAATGAGCTAAACTGAAGCTTTGAGTTCGTCTAAACTGGTCTAATCAGCACCATTCGAGGGGACTTGAGCCCGGGTTCCTGTAGTGCGACGTATAGTCTCGACATGTTGCCAATACGACAGACGGCCATTAATGCCAGTGGGCCACGAGATGGACGTGGCTTTCAAGGTAAGCCGGTCCTTTCCCAAATCAGAACTGATCATTTCGAAGCCTACTCACTAAGCCAGGCACGGCTTGTCTCTGGCAAAGGAGTGGAGGACCGACTTGCCACCATTTGGTGCACACAACCCAATTCTTGACCCTGTTAGAAGTGGCGATGAGATTCGGCAAGATTCGAGACTTCGGTCTAGTCAGAGTAAGAAAACCTTTTGGGAGGTAAAGCCAATTAAGCTTAAACAGGATCATGAAGTATACGCAGTTTATCGTGTGAAAATTCTCCTCTAGGTCTTGCATCATGTAATACGACCTACGATGCGTAAAACATTATATTAGTCCCCAAAAGCATGCACTACTTTTCTTTATAAGTAGTCCGGTTAATACAGCTCGCCTGAGAATTGACTTTCTTCCAATTAAACGAGGCTAAAGCCTCATCGTACCGGAGATGTGCTCTTGATCAAGTGGAGGGAAGGCGGATCACATGGTTGAGGCTGAACAGCAAAGTGGTTAGTTCGAATCCCGCCTGGACGGTAGAAGTGAGGTCCGAACGAGAGTCCAGCTTCGGCGAGGACGAACCTTTGTGGGGCAGGCTGGAGAGAAGCTGGAGGTGAAATCAGACCTTCGTTCAAATTCACCGACTGGTTTTTGGATGCATGGAAAAGGTAAATTCACCGCAACCTACCAAGCGACTTGGCACTAAACCAGCCGAAACTGGCATGCCACAACAAGTACAGAGAAATAATCATTTCGACCAATTAGTGATTTATAATACCATCTACATACAATGTAACATAAAGATATAAAGATATATATATCAGGACCCCGGATCCTATCTCGTTGCCTTGGCAACTCCGCTTGTCATCACCTCTTCCTCATCATCAAACATCAAATTTTGGTTA